CTTATTACATGGAGATTCTTCAGCAAAGTTGATTTCATAGAAAAAGATAATAGAACAATGGTGACCAGAGACTGGAGGGAGGAGAGGAAGGGAATGAGTGGCTGCTGGTCAGCTGTACTACTCCATATTGGGCAGCAGCATCATTCTACGGGCTGGTATCTGGGGCCAAATCCCAGAATTTCTCCTTCTCTGCTTCCTGACCATGGACACAATGTGACTAGCTGCCTCACATCCCCACTGGCATTTCCCCTCCTCAGTAAATCTTCTCCCTTCAATCATGAAACCTAAATAAACATCCCCTCAACTTTTGGCCAGGTGTTTTGTCAAAGCAATGAGAGCCACCTACTACATGAGGAAACTTTGAGTTTTGTTCAATAAGTTGATTCAAGTTAAAAGAAAATTTCCAAATATCTGACTACCAAAACAAAATGATGGAATGGCTACATGATTTAATAATTCTATATTATATTCATTTATCAGTTGAGCCACATAAGTATATAATTTGTTCACTATTGTATGAACTGAAGGTATCTGCAGGGTTTGTTCCTTCTGGAAGCTTCTGGGGAGAGCCCACTTCCATTTTGCAGCTTTGAGAGGTTGCCTTCCCTCCTCAGTTCATGACCCTTTCCTCACACAACTGCTCTCTTGCTTATGTCATCATACTTCCTGCCACTAGCTCTGGTTTCCCTGCCTATTGTAAAGGGACCCTTGGGGTCACACTGGGTCCACTCAGAGAACCCAGGATAATCTTCCCATTTTAAGGTATTTAATCACATCTGCCAAGTCTCCTATGATACAGTTATACACTCACAGGTACTGGAAATTGGGATGTGCAGAGCCTTGAACATTATTCAGCTTTACACAGCTGGCCGTACACATAGCTCTGTACATGTGCAGGACTTTTTGTGGGAAATTCATTTTGAAAATCATTTAAAATCAGAGAATTCTGAAACATACATTCTGTTTTAATTTTTAAACATTTTTAAAATTATGTGTGTGGGGGGAGAGGGAGAGGGAGAGAGGGAGGGAGGGAGGGAGAGAGAATGAATGAATGAATGAATGAATGAATTTGTATGCAGGCGCCCTCAGAGGCCAGAAGAGGGCATCAGATCCCCTGGAGTTGGAGTTAGAGGTGGTTGTGTACCACCAACAATAGGTGCCAGGAGCCAAACTCTGGTCCTCCAGAAAACTAGCTCTGCCCCACTGAGCCATTGTCTAGATCCCATAGAATGAAGTTATTATTGAGGGACTATCTCAGTCAGTTGAGAGACAGAAAATTCAGGTCGTTAGAGAGAAGTCCACTGGAACCAAAACAAAAGGCCTAGAGCCCTGTCTCTGGGTAACACCTGGTTCAAAACCACTAGTATGACACTGTTAGATTCTTCAAAAAGGGGGACTGTCAAGGTGGCAGTCAGCAGGTGAAGTTCTTGCTATGCCGCATGTGCTCCTTGTGGTACTCACGCAATCTCTCTCTCTCTCTCTCTCTCTCTCTCTCTCTCTCTCTCTCTCTCTCTCTCTCTCTCTCTCACACACACACACACACACACACACACACAATAATAAAGTTCTGCAATATTTTAAAGGCATAATTCAGTAACTTAAATGGCTAAAAGAACATCAGCTAGGAACAAACAGGAAAGCTGAGAAGAGTACCCAGCCTTGAAAGGTGCTGGGGACGCTATTCCTAAAGAGATGTGAGCAGAAGCCTGGTAAGTCTACTAGCCCAAAGCAAGGACGACTGCCGAAGTCCACCTTCGTGAACTAACGGGTTTACTGGGGTTACTTACAAAAGTATGGGTGTAGCCGGGCGGTGGTGGTGCACGCCTTTAATCCCAGCACTCCGGGAGGCAGAGGCAGGCAGATCTCTGTGAGTTCAAGGCCATCCTGGTCTACAAGAGCTAGTTCCAGGACAGGAACCAAAAAAGCTACAGAGAAACCCTGTCTCGAAAAATCCAAAAAAAAAAGTATGGGTGAGGGTTGACTTAGAGAAGAAATGAGAAATGACTCAAGGACAGCTGCATCACCAAAGCCCACCCAGCAAGGGTGACAGTTCACCAAAGTTGGAGACCTGAAGCCCACTGCACAACATGCAGGCAGGCAGCTCAGTGGGACAGTGACTTTTCCAGGCAGTGCAGCTGGTCTCTGCTTCTTCCAGGGTATTTCTCCCACCTACCTCCTCTAGGAACCTGGGCTAGCCTCGGAGTGTCTCTCAGCAGCCCTTCCTGCTTATATAATCTTAGGGAGGGAGGGTCCTAGTGCATTTAGTCAACTTGAGGAACTTCTTGAAGCTTTTGGGTTGTCTACTTCCTGCTTCTTAAGTAGCCTTTCTTTAGAACATCTGGGGTCTCTCTCTTTTTTTTTTTAAGATTTACTTTTATTTTACATGTATGACGTGTATGGGTATTCTGATTGCATGTATGTCTGTGCACCACGTATATGACTGCTGTCTGCAGAGGTCAGAAGGATTTGGATCTCATGGAACTGGAGGCACAGATGGTTGGGGCAGCATAGGGGTGCTGGAAATCAAACCCATGTCCTCTTTAAAAACAAGTGCTCTTAACCTTTGAGCCATCTTTGCAGCCCATCTCTGGAATCTTAAAAATCTTCCAAGCAGAATGCAATGTTTTACCTTCCTTTAGAACATTCTGAGGCTTAGTGAGTTTCCCAATAGGAGGGAGTGTTGTATTTTAGAGGAAACTACAATACACTTAAAAAACTATTGAGGAAATAGGAACATATAATACAGAAATACTAAAAAGCACAGATAATTTTACTTTTCATAATAGGTGAGAAATGAGTAACATTCCCTAGCCTAACGACTATGCACACAGTACTCTATGTGACACCAGAGACCACGCTCTCCCTGCATGAACACAGGACATAGACCATATGAAGCAGCGAGAAGAGGAACCTCACAGCAGCTACATTTGGACATGGAGCCTCTGTTAGAGAACCTTCATTCCTGTTGTTTAAGTCACCCCATCTGTGGTGTTTTGCTAGGGGAACTCCGCCGACAGGAACTTTAGGTCTTTAGGTAGAGATCTCTAATATCATGAGACTATGATAAAAATGATCTCTTCTCCAGAAAACATGTGTGGTTTTAGGGTTAGGACGGATACTCGTCAATCATCCGACAAATACTGAAGCTCAGCGTTAGGGGGGCGGGGCTTGTATGTGCCAGCGTGTGTGTGTGTGTGTGTGTGTGTGTGTGTGTGTAGCTATTAGGAGGGGTATGAAGAACTGACAACACATGAACTTTTCCGAAATATCACATTACTTTTTGACGTGTGTATGCTTGGATGTGTTGGTACACATACATGAGGAGGTTGGTGGTTGAAATCAGCTGCCTTTCTTAATTGCTCTCCACCTTATTTTATTGATTTATTTATTCTGATGGATAACGGAGCTCACTGGTTTGGCTAGGCTGGCTGGCCAACAAGCCCCAGGTCTCCAGCACCGGGATTGCAGGTGCATGTTGTGGCACCCAACCACGAACTCAGGTCTTCAAAGTTATGCAGCCAGCACTTCACCAAGGGAGCCATCTTCCCAGCCCCTACTTTAGCTTAAGAAAAGAAAAACTTACTATTCTTGAGAAATTCTACTTCATCATTGCTGTGAGGCATATATTTTAGAGTTCTGCAATCTCAGTATACTGACATTGTCGAACAGGTAATTTTTTAAGTGGGGAACTGTCTTTCGGTCTCTACTCTCTACTAGGTGTTAGCAGTAATAGGGGTTTGTAGTAGTACCACATCCTGCCCGTTGTGACAACCAAAGATGTCTCCAGGGATTTCTAAACATCATAGAGTGAAATAGTCCCACAGGACTGTCTGCTCCAAGCCCTGTAAAGCAAATACAACCATTGCAAATTACCAGAGCGGAATCAGGATAGTGCAGGCCAGTAGGCGTATAAGGACGCTGGGTACACCAGCATGTAAAACATGGCCTACAGATGTAGGTGAGGAAATCATACTGAACTACAATATGGCAGAAAGTTTTCATGGAAAAAGACGTTCAACATGATTAAACCACTGGAATCAGACCATTTTTTATTTTTGGTATTTTTGTTTGTTTTGTTTTTAAGAAAAGTTCTCATTGTGCCGCCCATACTGGCCTCTAACTCTTGACATTCCCACCTCTGCCTCCTGAATGCTGGGATTACAGGTATGCACCACAATCAAATGGTCAGGCATTTAAAAAAATATATTTAAGAAAATTTTACATAATCTATTTTAAATTTTTATTTTCTATTTCCCTTAAAATATAAGTTATTTTGGGAGCTATATAGATACAGAGAACGGGGAGAAAAACAAAGGATGTGTGAGAAAATCTTCCCTAAGTGGGATTTCCTTAACTTGATGCTAGAAAGAACACCGTATTCCCATAGAAAAGGAAGGTGGTGCCAGACCTCGGCACACAGTAGCTTTCCTTCACGTCTGGACTGAACCACGTTATTAGTGAGTGCCTACTATCTCGAAGGCACCGTCTTGGACACACAACAGGCGCAGTCCTTGGTGCTAGGAATACAACAGTTACTTAATCTTCTGAAAATGTCTACCCTCCTGGCACTTACGTTTTCATGGAGGCAGAAATATAAAAACAGGTATAAAATATGGAACAGAGCCTGTGGTGTTAAGTGCTATATACAGAGAAAAACTGAAGCAGAAAAAGGGGTCTGGTCGTCTGAACGAAAGACTCCCATTCCACCCTGCAGAGGTAAACACCTTTCTTGCACCTGCACCGATGCAGTCAACGGATCCAATTTCTTGGTGCTCAGACTCTCTCCAAGCTAGCTTGGAGCCCTGGGTCACTGCCGACTTAAATACCCAGAGCTCCCATCACCGGCTCCCATTTTTGAAGAAAGGGAGTCCTATCACACGGCGCGAGGAAGCGGCGGCCCGAGCTTCCACTGAGGCCCGACCCCAGCGCCGCACGGTCCCGGCTCTAAGTGCCATCAAACGCCAGGCTCGCCCGAGCAAGGCCCGAGCCTCCGCCGTTACCTGTTGCGGCGTCGGCGCCGCTCCCACGCCGGTCCCCGCAGGCGCGCCCGCCCCCGCCACCGCCCCGGCAACCGCCGTGGCCGCCGCCGCCACCACCACGGTCGTCAGGGCCGCCATGTTTGCTCGCCGAGACTCCCGCGCCTGTGCGCGGGATCGGCTCCAGTGGGCGCTCACCCACGCTCCGCGGACGGCTCCGAACCGCTGGACCACTAGGGCGGAGCGCGGAGCCGACCCCGCCTAGCCGGAGGGGTGTGGCTTGTCGGGGGCGTGGCTTGACGGGGAGGGCAGCTCGAGGACCTGGTTTATTAGGGCGTGGCTTTGTGGGGCGGGCAACGAGGGGGCGTAGTTTAGCAGGGCGTGGCTGTCCATGGGGCGGGCAGCTCGAGGGCGTGGCTTAGCGGGGCGTGGCTGCGCCGGGGCACGGCTCCTGGCAGGACAGACTTAAAGGCGGAGCTCGGAAGGGGCGGGGCCAACGCCGGCTTGTGGGTTGAAGATGAGGATGCTGGACCCGACTTAGGGGGGCAAGGTGGACTTGGCATGGTGTGGCGCAGAGCGCCTCTATTCAGTTTTGTGTTATATGAGCTTTGATAGCACTGGTGCCTACTCTGTTCGCCCACGCCCGTAGCTGTTGAGAAATGTATCATCTTCCTTTAAATTGTATTCGTGTTATACGAACATATGTGTGTTTCATACGATAGAACTGTTTTCTATGTCCGTAAATGCCGGTGAAACTTACTGAAGGATAAAGCATATGGTTGAATTCTAGGGATACATGTTATTCTATATTTTCAAAGAAAGACCATTCCGCACAGAAGCAGGTATCAGAGCCAGGAACACCTTAGCTGCTTCCTAGGACTTGTTTCTAAGATGAAAGATTCCTAAGACTCTGTGTAGAAAGTTGAGAAAAATGGATCTTCTCAGAAGCAACCAGTGGCAATGGACCTAGCCACTGTTCTCATTCTTCTGTTTCTCTCTTAAGTGAATTCATTCGCCGTTCTAGCTCTTGCTGTAAACTTCTCCCAGGAGCAATTCTAGATCCGGGGAATTCTTCGTTGAGTTCCACTGGCAAGAGTCTTCCTCTCACATCTTTCTCGGAGGGAATATAAACAAGTAAACAAGCGCTGCATTTAAGTATAAGTACCTTGGCAGCCCTAGTGGGGGTGCTTTCCTGTGCATTTCTGTTTCATCGCCACAAATAGCTAGGTTTAGCTATAGAGTGCAAGTTTCACCTCCATTTCATGGATAAAGTTAAGGAAGTCTAGTCAGCCTAGGAAGAGACCAGGATACAAACTCGGGCTCCTGACTCCAGAAAATATAGGAGGAACCTATAACAGGTAAGAAGACGCCTGTGCATCTCCAAAGGTGTGGGTTTGGCCTTCATCTATATTGCAAAGAAGATTATTACATACAAAGATTATTTTGAATAAGATTTGACGAAATTTCTGCGAAGGACGTTTCTGATGACTGGGTCTAGAACCTTCTAAGTCAGCAGCTGCAGACAGAAAACTAAGCCTAGGGACAGAGGAAATTGTTTCGTTTGGGGCGTTTATAGAAGGAGGTGTATATCAGCCCTTAGAGCTGCTGCCTGGCAGTCTAGTAACGAGAGGGACATAACAGTTCGGTTTGTCAAAAAGGAGGTTGTGGGCCATCATGATGAAAGCAGAGCCCATGGGTGGTGGAGAACAAAGCCTCCTTGAGTCAGTTGAAGATTTAGGAGGACAGGTGATCCCAGTGTTGAGAGACTTTGTTGTTTGTTTGTTTGTTTTAGTCAGAACTAGTAGAGAGCATTTACATACTGCTGTAAATGACCCAATAAAGAGCAGAAATTTGATGCTGCAGAAAAGAACAGCAACCCACACCATGGGAAAGAATGGAGCCCAGGAACAGGCAAGGTTTGCTCATAGACCCATGCTTGGCTAGTTTCTACGTATAACCCAGGACCACCTGCCCAGGGAATAGTACTGCCCATGGGGTCTCCTACATTAATTAAAAGTCAGGAATTCCCCTCAGACGTGCCCACAGACCAGTCTGATGGAGACACTTCCTCTCTCAGATGACCCTAGGCTGTATCAAGTTGACAAAGCTACCTAGGACACATCTTTGGCATGCATTGTAATTTTGTGACCATACCACTTAATAATTCCATCCTAGATTATAAACATGAGTCCATTGCTTCAAAAGGAGTTTTGGACAGTAATCTGAGAGTTATTGATTTTACAGTTAGCTAGAACAATAAGCCCAAATACCATCTACATAATTAAATATACAGAAAACTGCTCAGAGATGTCAGCTCCTAGGTAAAACAAAAGAAAACTCCTTTCCACTAAAATATTCTTGTCTGAGAATTTTAAATCGAAGCCACATCCTCTTTATAAATGCACAAGAACTTGCACACTAAGAAAACAATATCCATGTTTGGTGGTGGAAGCCTGTAACCATTCTAGTTAACATACCGAGGCAGGCGGATTATGAATTCCAAGACAACTTGGGCTAATATACCAAGACTTGTTTAAAGAAAAAGCAAAAACAGAAAGGGCAGTGTGTTAGGGGAGACCATCAGTGTTGGAAAGTTTTCAAGTGTAATATATTAATGTAAAAAACTGGACAGGCTATCCTCTGAGCAGCTATGGCTTATCTCCCCTCCTCTCCTTACTCCTTCCCTTCCTCTTTCTGAAAGTCATCTTAATTCTTTTTCTACTCCCTTTCTCTCCTTTCCTTGTCTCCTGTGTCTGTTGTTCCATCTCCTACTTCTACAAGATTGACTCACGGGTTTCTATTACATAAGTGAGAACATACGTCATTTGTCTTTCTGTGTCTGGCATGTTTCACTCAGCATATTGTTCTCCAGTTCCATCCATGTTAGTCCAAATTACAGGATTTCATTCTTTTATATGATGAGGAGTAATAATCCCATTCTTTTTTTAATTTTTATTTATTTATTAAAGATTTCTGACTCTTCCCCGCCACCGCCTCCCATTTCCCTCCCCCTAATAATCCCATTCTATAAATATACCTTCCTTTGTTTCTCCATCCATCCACTGAAGGGCATCTAGATTGGTTCTGGCTAATGTGGATGCTGCCACGGGTGCAAGTATCTGTTGACAAAAAAGACTTTGTTTTCTTTGGATATGAATCTAGTAGTATTCACTATGTCGATGAACAGAAGGTAGAGATAGCTCCTCACTCAGTGCCTATTTTAGTCTTTCTTAGTGTGCCAAATATTACCACAGAGGTAGAATGTTTAGAATGTTTACCTCCAAGGATTCTTTGCAGCTGGGGTTCTTAAAATAGATTGTTTTCGGATTGGATAAATACAAACTGTGAAAACTGTGATTTCAGAACTCCTAAGTAAGGTAAGAGGTAATACCTGAAGCATCCATTCTAGTTATGCACAGCGAGACTCTGGGACTGACAGGTGCTGTAACGTCTTACTGATCCAGAGGTAACAGATAAGAAGGTGTGTTCCTTCTGAAAGGTGTGGCGGCAGGTTCTCATTTTTGTTCCTTTTATTGAAAATAGACTTTCCCGGGGCTGGAGAGATGGATCAGAGGTTAAGAGCATTGCCTGCTCTTCCAAAGGTCCTGAGTTCAATTCCCAGCAACCACATGGTGGCTCACAACCATCTGTAATGAGGTCTGGTGCCCTTTTCTGACCTGCAGGCATACACACAGACAGAATATTGTATAC